CGTCAAACTGATGGATCTCACAGGGGATATGAATCTACGTCTGGTAAGAAATGTATAGAGAGAAGGATACTTCATTCTGATTTCCATTTGAGGTAAGTTTAAAAGATGTTTAACAACTATTGGAACAAGACATATAAGCGAACGATATTGTTTTCAATTAGATCTTCTTCAGGCTTTACTCCAATTTACGTAGCTTTATATATAAGAAATTTAACAAATGACGGTGAGTTTGTGGATCAAATAATAACAATAATATTAAAGTGTTAATGGTTTTGGACGTCAGTAATAACGATGATTCTAATGATAACAAAGGTAGTAATATGTGTATATGTAGACAATTCAATAAATAGAAAATCAAAACAAGTGATTTAGCGAAGAGAGTCTTTTCAACGAATTTATTATCACTGTACAATCGTATATATTTGGTTTTTGAGAAATTATATCCGGTGAGGGAATTGAAACATAGGTGTGAATACATAAAATAATAATAGTATCGTTGATATAAGAATAAAACTTGGGCACTGTGGTAGAGTGTAATTCCATTATGGGTAAATTTTATTTTGATAGAGTCTCACAGTGTTATACAGTAATATTTACTGATGACGTTTCGAGCACAATTTATTGCTCATAATCATATCAAGGTAATCACACGACTTCCTAAATTCATTTATATAATTCCGTTGTTTTTCACTTGATTTTCACTTGATTTGATTGGTAGTATTATTTTCCATATTTCGGGTATGAGTGATGATTCATTCCTATTGCATGTGTTGGGTGTAGATTCGATGAACAAAGATTCAGTAATCAACCTCTCTCTCCACCTACCTATATTACTTTTTAGAATTTTAACCCTCTCCCACCCTATTGTGTGGTTGTGTGTTAATGCATGCATTGCAATTGCTGAGCTTTTTTCTAAATTACTTATCTTCTCTGGGTCAACCATTCTTACCTTAGCTAAATTCTTATGTTCTGACAATCTGACTACCCCTGACCTACTAGTTTGACCTATGTAGTTGACCTCACAGTCATTGCAGGGTATTTTGTAAATTATATTATTTTGTCTAATTGGGTCCACTGGGTCCTTTAACCTACAGAGCTTGTCCCTGAGTGAGTTTGTAGGTTTAAATGCCACCCTAATTCCTGCTTTATTTAGAATCCTACGTAGGGTCTCAGATGTCCCCTCTTTATATGGTATAACTGTAGATGACTTATATTCTCTCTTATTTATGTTATTATTACTAGTTTCACAATTCTTTTTATTTTTCTTTTGGCCTTTTTCAATCTTCCTAATGAATTTTAGAGGATAGTTATTTAAAACCAACGCCTCTTCTATCTGTTTTATTTCATCATTTAGGTCTTTTTTTGTGCTACTTAGTGCCATTGCTCGGTTTGTTAAACATTTAACTAAGCCTGCCTTAACAGTTAAAGGATGAGATGAATTAAAGTCTAAATATCTATTAGAATGCGTTGGTTTTCTATAAACACTAGTGTGTAGTTTGCCTTCTTCTATTCGTTTTATTTTACAATCTAACATAGCTAATTCTCCTTGCTCATTTTCGGCTTCAAATGTGAATTTTATTCCCTCCACTAGTGAGTTTATGTGTGTCAAGAAGCTAGAGATATGTTCTATTTTTAACACTGTGAAAGTGTCATCCACATATCTCCACCATATTTTTGGAGTACGATTAAACTGAAGGTGTAGCAATCGGATCACCAATATCCCCTATCGTAGCAGATATATTTATGGATAGCTGGAAAAATATGGCACTTAATACGTTTAATCCTACTCCAAAAATATGGTGGAGATATGTGGATGACACTTTCACAGTGTTAAAAATAGAACATATCTCTAGCTTCTTGACACACATAAACTCACTAGTGGAGGGAATAAAATTCACATTTGAAACCGAAAATGAGCAAGGAGAATTAGCTATGTTAGATTGTAAAATAAAACGAATAGAAGAAGGCAAACTACACACTAGTGTTTATAGAAAACCAACGCATTCTAATAGATATTTAGACTTTAATTCATCTCATCCTTTAACTGTTAAGGCAGGCTTAGTTAAATGTTTAACAAACCGAGCAATGGCACTAAGTAGCACAAAAAAAGACCTAAATGATGAAATAAAACAGATAGAAGAGGCGTTGGTTTTAAATAACTATCCTCTAAAATTCATTAGGAAGATTGAAAAAGGCCAAAAGAAAAATAAAAAGAATTGTGAAACTAGTAATAATAACATAAATAAGAGAGAATATAAGTCATCTACAGTTATACCATATAAAGAGGGGACATCTGAGACCCTACGTAGGATTCTAAATAAAGCAGGAATTAGGGTGGCATTTAAACCTACAAACTCACTCAGGGACAAGCTCTGTAGGTTAAAGGACCCAGTGGACCCAATTAGACAAAATAATATAATTTACAAAATACCCTGCAATGACTGTGAGGTCAACTACATAGGTCAAACTAGTAGGTCAGGGGTAGTCAGATTGTCAGAACATAAGAATTTAGCTAAGGTAAGAATGATTGACCCAGAGAAGATAAGTAATTTAGAAAAAAGCTCAGCAATTGCAATGCATGCATTAACACACAACCACACAATAGGGTGGGAGAGGGTTACAATTCTAAAAAGTAATATAGGTAGGTGGAGAGAGAGGTTGATTACTGAATCTTTGTTCATCGAATCTACACCCAACACATGCAATAGGAATGAATCATCACTCATACCCGAAATATGGAAAATAATACTACCAATCAAATCAAGTGAAAATCAAGTGAAAAACAACGGAATTATATAAATGAATTTAGGAAGTCGTGTGATTACCTTGATATGATTATGAGCAATAAATTGTGCTCGAAACGTCATCAGTAAATATTACTGTATAACACTGTGAGACTCTATCAAAATAAAATTTACCCATAATGGAATTACACTCTACCACAGTGCCCAAGTTTTATTCTTATATCAACGATACTATTATTATTTTATGTATTCACACCTATGTTTCAATTCCCTCACCGGATATAATTTCTCAAAAACCAAATATATACGATTGTACAGCTTGATAATAAATTCGTTGAAAAGACTCTCTTCGCTAAATCACTTGTTTTGATTTTCTATTTATTGAATTGTCTACATATACACATATTACTACCTTTGTTATCATTAGAATCATCGTTATTACTGACGTCCAAAACCATTAACACTTTAATATTATTGTTATTATTTGATCCACAAACTCACCGTCATTTGTTAAATTTCTTATATATAAAGCTACGTAAATTGGAGTAAAGCCTGAAGAAGATCTAATTGAAAACAATATCATTCGTCTTGTTCTAATACTAATAATGAGAATATTTAACAATTATTGAATAAAAACAAAATATTCTCCAGATGAAAAACACTAAGTCAACTACGCATCTTTCGAAGATGTTAAAGCATCCAATAATCTGGGTATGCTATGTTTTCCAGTTTTGACATCTCTTAAAAGATCCATCCACCGAAAACGTGCATGGAATGAAGAATAAGCCAGTTTCCATAATTGAGAAATCACATACATCCGTCCTGCTATAAAGACAAAAGGGATTTGTAGTTCAGACAGTGTTAACATTTAAAGCCACATTTGCTGAAAGTAATCACTTAACCACTTTATTGATAAAAACATGACGAATAAATAAACCGAATTGATCACTGACTCAATTCCACAGAAAACCACCTTCATGAATCTAGAATTCCAGAGATAACACTCCCAACATTCTTAGAAAGCGTTTGTGTTATATCTGCGCCGCTAACTGTTATAACGGCAATGAACTCGACTGGTACGCTAATACGCTTGTTTCTTTGGTGGACCTTTCGATTCACTGAGCCAAGCAAATATCAAATGACAAAGGTTGATTTGTGACTGTAAGATGCTGTATCATTATTAGAAAATGATATAACACATGATATTTGTACATTTTCTTTACCACAATAAAGTCGGCTCACAGTCGTGAGAAATGACTGATTGCACCATAAATCAAAAATGCATAAGAAAGGATGATATACTATTTTATGTGGGTTCTTATCAGTTTGTCAAAATCGGGCAATAAGACGTCCCTCAAAATTTCGGTTGACCTTTACTAGTTGGAAGCTGTTCACCGTTTTAGTAAAAGATAAACCCCACTATCTGGCTGCCTCTACGTATATTTATCAGTTAACTTTCTCTGATACAGTAAGTTACATTGGATTTAGTCAGAGAATACTGTCCACAAGCAGAAGACAGAACAGTTCAGTATGTTTTTAAAGGTAGACGGGAAGAGTATGAGGAGTTCTATCCTTGAACACTTCGACTTCTGTCATTCAGCTAAGTGCAATAACGATTTTAGGTGACTTATCCAATTCCATAAAAGGCTGAATTACGCATTCCACTTTGTTATCGCTCAACGTTTAATCATAATTAACATCATAACTGTTATGGAAAATTATGGTTTAGGTTTCCTTACTAGGTAGTTTTCAAAAAATGATATGTATATATGATTGTTCAGCTTAGTAATAAATTTGTTAAAAAGAGTTTGTTGTTTTAGAACGGGAATTATAAAATTGAGCAAATAATTAATTAATTTTCTCGAGGATTTTGTGGTTCCTTGATGTGTAATGAATACCGTCTTTATTTTATTTTCCACTTTTAAATAACAAGTCTCACGAATCTTCACTATACCATTAAACATCTTACTTAGAGTGAATACGGGTGGTCAGCCAGATGAAGTCTTTGTAGTTGGCCAAAATTAATACAATCCTCCACTAGTATGCAAAATATTAGTTTTTTATTGGTGCAGAAAAATCCTCCCTAAAAGCAAATGTCAATCAGAAATAATTTGTTTTACTTTACCAAACAGGAGTAATTGAATGTGTTAACAAATTAAAACTTATTCAAGAAGTATACTTAAAATATAAGGCTGACAGAAATAAATACCCACTAAAACAACCAAACTACCCGTAACAATATCAAAAAATATTTACCTTTCCCATTGTAAAACTCTGCATGCTTCACACCTCTTGGAGGATCAACCGCTGGTGGCACTAATCTAGATTTGGGATTCAAGCGTAGAAAATTAGTTGTCCATGGATCTTGTGATTTGGATGGCATATCATAACCATCTTGTTCATATGTCAAGGGGGTGTTATGTAAGGGGTGAATGTCATTAGACCACATTTCAAGATTTGGAGGGGAATTATTGTTATTTTGATTATTACTGTTATTATTACTATCCTGATAATATTTCAACAAACGGTCAGACTTTTCAACAAAGTGTGGACTATGATCATGTCTGGTTTTATTAGTCTTACTAATTCGCATATCATCAAGTTTTCTCAACATAGCTAATGGGCACAAATCAACTGTAGGATCAGATCCAAAGAAGGAAATAGCTGCTTTCCGTTCTGCGTCTCTTAACAAACGACAGTCTAATGAAGAGAAGTAAGGAGAAAAAGTTAAACTGTTGATTATTTTTATACGGAAAGATAAAACAGTAACAAAACGTTTGAGTGGTTATTCACAACATTTTTTAAAGCGCTTATTAAATAAAGACGCATTCAGATATTATTAAAGTTACATTTTTCTCAGCTGTGTTTGTTCGGTGTAACCATAATATGATCTTACCCCCTACCATAGACTGGGAATGTTAGATGTATCAAACATACAGTGCCGAAATGGACCGATGAAAACTGATTCTATGCACACTCTGAATAACAGCCACACTGGGAGACATCCAGCCCATTTTATCCTTTCCAGAAACCTGTGGTCATGGAACAGAATTATGCAGTATTTTATACATTCTTCCATTTGTTGAATACACTACTGGTTCTCCTTCGTGAATTTTCATTTCTTCTGGCTTCAGAATCTCTTCTTCACACAGGTTCGCAATTTTTTTGAATTTCGCCCATCCTATATCATTAGTTTTGCGGCACGCAGCATAGTGAATAATTGTTGAGGTGCACTAGATTACAAATCGAATCTCCCTTTGTAAATTGAATTTATCAAATTCAAAACTAAATGTACGGTCATTTTATTAGACTCACTCTTAGAATGAAAAGGCAAAAGGATGAAGACAGAAACATTGAAACAATTATTTAATCCCCAGCTGTCAAAAGGTTAAGTAGATAAAAAGAAAACAAACTAATGAAAATTCTTTATTGGATGCTGCACAGAGGTTTTACCTAAATATAACAAACCAGTAGGGTAAAATTTCTATATTAAGATTGCCATAGTCATTCTGTGGTCAGCACTATACTTTGCTAGAAAGTCAGGGAGAATAACAAGGTCTTCCGCGGAAAATGGTGGTCCTGATTTCGATCAGGAAGCCAGATAATTTATGCCGAACGCGTTAATCTTCTGAACTTACCGAGATTTAATCAATCAAGGCTGTATGATCAACACGCAAACACGATCTTTCGTTCTCAGTGATAGAATGGTTATATAGTTGCTTACCGTTATTGTTAATTAGCACTGCATAGCTGAAAAAATTAGATAAAAAAAATATCTGCTAACAAACCAAATTTTCTAGTTAGGTTACAACATGGTAACATCGGAAGAGGTTGTGGCTAAACGCTAACTATAGGTGAAACTAGAACTTATACATACGTTGCGTACACAGGGACACTTCTGACTACTTTATTAAATAATATGCAGAATATGTAAAAAGTAAAAATGTTCTTCACTAAAAGCAGTAATGTGATATTTCAAAAGAACCATTAGAGATAACCGAAACGACAGGAACGTACAACATAAAATCAGGGCATTTTTCAATGCTTTTAATTAGAAAACTCTCCAAATATGAACGAGGAAATTGCATACGATATGACAATACCACCAATTTTGAAGAGAACTTGATGACATCCACTGGTAAAATTCTGCATGGTCTATTCGAAAAAACTCACGCAGACACAAAGTAGCAGTAAAACCACAACATAGGAGATCTCAAGTCATTCGTTCCAATTATAACAATAAAAGCATGCAGTTTAAAAACAGGTGTCAGATAGAAAAGACGAAAAACAATTAATTTCCTGTCCTTCTCATCCTACGTTTTACTCAGCTGTCCATTAAAAGGACGGAAAACTGAAATTCAATCAAGAGTTACCTGTAATTTGATTTATACTCATAAGTAAACCAAGTCAATGAGTCACTCAATACCTATGATTCTACTGAATGTAATGCGTTGTCCCAACAGAAGCTATAACAGAACAACTATACTTTGTGATACGGTAATAAACTGACAGATATTCCACTCAGTGCAATCAATAATAAAATCAGTGGAAATCACAGTACACCAAAGTCAATAAATTAGCACTACTTGGGTGTTTCCAAGGATTATATGTAGTTTGCTTGGAAAAATTGAATGTCTCTAAAAATGGCATATAATAACGATTTCTACTGCACTTTGAACTTCAAGGTAATACTATAAGTGCAAAGAGTTTATTGTACATCGACGCCGCAGGTGGAAGATAAATAACTAATTTCTGTTGTAAATCCATTATAAACCCTTTTAATTCATTTTGTTTGATAATCACCTCAGAACCAGAGCGAATTACATAAAATAGCTTACCAAAAAGCCACTTTTAGAAAACCCACCCTATACTCTATCCTTTAAACCTCTCGTGTCAAGTTTTCTTTGTCTTTCCACTTTCTCACTATGCGCTGGGACATGCCAGTGTAAGTAAAGCTAAGACTACGAGTATATCACAAGCGAAATCTCAGAAGACAGTAAAGTTGCTGAATTCACTCACATCTAGCGGTTAAAAATGTGAATATTTCCACCTGCAAACAAACAGACATTAATAGATCACAAGCAAGCATCAGAAAAAAATTACTAGTTGAGGAAAAGAATGCAACAGAAAACAATTTCAATACAGAAAGACTTGCCTAGAGTTTTAAGTTTAGGAAGGATGTATGTGAGATACAACCTGTAATCTGAGTTCAGACGTGACACTGGGTTCAGTCGAAGATCAAGGTCTTTGATATTTTTGTTAAAAGCCAGAACTCTAAGTTCATTAATATCTTCAATGCTGTTGTAATACAGGTTTAAAACTTCTAACGTCTTGATGTGTTCAATACCCTAAGTATATAATTATTCGGTAGATTGTATTACCCTAATTGACTTCAGAACATTTCTTGATAGATCGAGGATTTTCAGCCTTGAAAAATGTAATAAAGCAGTCCCAAGACAATTTATTTTCTCTTCATAATTTCCCTGCAAAATCAGTGTTTTTATATCCTCTAAAAAAACAAAAGGTCTACAGGACCATATAAAATCTACCTAAGTTTTCACTAGAAATTTTGACTTTCTCTTTCACCCAATCTTCGGATATGGAAATATATTTGCTCATGTTGTCATGTTGTCAAGATGTCGAATTAGTTCACGCCAGAAATTCTGAAGGTCACACTTTATGAAACCATTTACAAAATTAAACAAACGTGCAGAAAGCCTTACAGACATTTCTTTCATCTGAGAGTTCGCAAAAAAATATTTTCACGTTTTGTCACTTTCGTGATACTTCCATCCCAAAATATAGAGAAAGGGAATAATGAATCAGTTACGAATTATCTTTGGGAATCTTGTGATGATTAATTCTAACTTTTAGTTTCCACTTTTCCAACAACAGAAACTAAAGCCTTCCCACAGTATTTGTTAAGTTGAGAGCCTGGGATCTGTTTAATCATTTAAAAACTTCTCGAGTGGTGGGGATTAAGGCTATCACTATCTGTTTTCGCTCATAGTGTAGGTTTTCGTGTCAATGCTTATAACGACTCTATTAGCGTCTGTTTTGGTGAGAATAGAAAATTTTTTAATAAATTTCACGCTTCTGCAGTCAGAAAGCAATATTCGCTTGTATTATTTTAGTATTAATGCATCAAACTGTTTTAATATCCTGTATAATTTATTACGAAGAAAGGAAAGAACTAAGGGGGATTATGCCAAAAACTGGCTATCATTTTTATTTGATTGCCTTGAAGATCAGACAGATGAAAATCTTTATGATTGAAATCGACTACAGAAGTCTCAAAGGGCCATTGTAGTTAATCTGTGAGAAGTTAATAAGGTGTGAAATCTCTTCCATCCAGAACGAATGAATACGTTCATGACTCATCGAAGAAGTCATATGATGAATGAAACAAATGGCTGAATTTTGCGGTGATTATGTCCATTTTGATGAAGTACACAGTCAAAATTGTTCAGTCGAAGGTACAATACTAGCGGAATTTACATTGCCACATGGAATGCTGGAAGATCGTGACTGCTTACTGCATTGAATGGCATCAGCTTATCTTGATATCAGTGTGTATTGTGACAAGGAGAATACCATGGATGGTTCCCTTGAAATATAATTCCGCTACAATTAGTACTACCTTTCTGTCGAAAAGTAGCTTGCAGCTGAATTTTTCCATCAACGCACCTTTCACGTATGTTATTTCAGTCCTAATAATCATTCACTTTTAGATCACTAAAGTATTCAGAGATCCTTCAGGAACTTTCTTTCGCTATATAGCAAATGAAAGTTGCACTAAAGACTCCTATTTATTAACCATTGATTAATTAAACGGTTTATCTCGAGAGACTTAGTGATGCCCAGATTAAAATGCTTAAGCATATGCAGTTACTGCATGCTATTATCCATGGAGGGCGGTTATTGAAAATGAATACGATTTAAAGCTTCCCATCAAATCAATAGGAATGCCATGAATTGTGAGTAAGAAACGTGGCCAAGGGAATTACCTCGAACAGATAGAAATAAGTATTACTCTAACGTCCATAATTACTATCTTTTAAATGTGTGGACCATTTTTTGAAGTTCAGAATTACACCACCAAAAATAAATTTGTCATTTACTTAGTATCATACTTGACAATAAAAATGCTGTCATGACCGCAGAATGAGCAAGTAGGATGAGCCTTAGCCAGAAAAGCTAGTTAAATATAAAGTGTTTAACTTTCATATTACTTTTTTCTAACTGCAACGAATTCAAAAATACACCTTGTTCATTTATTTGTATAAGTCCGGTAACGTCAGTCGACCTGTTTACAACACCGCCGAAATAATTACGACAAATAATTCCTTACAGGTATTCGCTTTTTTAATATTTTTCATTACATTTACCTCGCATCCTGCCTACCATAATTTTCTTTTTCCATTTGAGTGAAAACGAACTTGTCATCATGATGGGATGGCGGCTTAACTTATCAATGAGACCTGATAAAGTAATCGGTGGTATAATTAGATGTAAGTGAAATAGTACTGCGATTGTTTGAGTTCCATTTTAAGAGTTATTCATCTCATGTAGACTTCATTTTGAATTATATCTTAACACTCATAATCATATGGATTGACATCACGTTTCAAGCGAAACCATATTAACCTCCTGCTTTCGAATACACTTAATCATATTGAAAATAGGACTCCACCGCAGTGCCTAAGTTCTATTCTTATATTTCGAATAGATAGGTTATGTATTTTTGCCATTGTTCCCTACAGATTCGCATAGAACTAGGAGACGCAAATGCGTAGCTTTCAGCAGATGTTCAGGTCACAATAAAGTCAGTATAAGTCATCACCTATATCAATCTATAGCGTTCGTACATAATTATACTCACATATGGCAACAAGTTTATATCCTAGGGAGTAGTGGCCTGGCATGCCACACTCCCATTGCAGGCATATAAAGTAGAACACAAGAATATAACATAAAATGTTTTGTTTCAAGGTAACGCAAATTAGTTCAGTTACACTTATGGGCTGAGCACAGTCCAGGATGAAAGTCTTCATCTGAGAAGTATCTCCTGTTATTCAACAGAAACATTCCAGCATCCAAATCGCGTTACTCTTAAGTTCTTTCTCAGTTCAAACAAAGAGAACTGTACGACCATATCCAAAGTCATCCGGTATCACAAACTGGAACAAAGTATGCCTCCGTGGTTATAAGTGGACGAGTGAGCTCACGTTCCATTGTTGTTATATATGGAGTCGATTCCTACAACTGATTATGCAAATCTATCCGGTGGTAAGCAAAAGTACACTTTAGGGGGACCATCCATGGTATTCTCCTTGTCACAATACACACTGATATCAAGATAAGCTGATGCCATTCAATGCAGTAAGCAGTCACGATCTTCCAGCATTCCATGTGGCAATGTAAATTCCGCTAGTATTGTACCTTCGACTGAACAATTTTGACTGTGTACTTCATCAAAATGGACATAATCACCGCAAAATTCAGCCATTTGTTTCATTCATCATACGACTTCTTCGATGAGTCATGAACGTATTCATTCATTCTGGATGAAAACAAAAAAGTTAAAGATTCCCAGAGCAGATATGCAAATTATGCCTGTGTGCTTATTCTCTATCAAAAGCCTGAATCTTTCAGAATGACTGCTATGGCATTACCCTTTGTTGTAGTCAGTTTACGATCTGAAATTTTAAAACCACTCGGATATATCAAATCTTTATTGCTTCCGTACATAATAAAAATCATTTTTACGCACAACTGCTTTAATAATAATAATATATATTTTCCTATCAATGTAGGACACACCAGTTGTACAGGCATGGATAAGTATTATTTAAATTACATGAATTTGATTTATAGTGAAATTACATGGTTGCTCTCCTCTCTGACATCAGTTAGTGAGCACATTCTGATAGTTAGTCGTTCAATGGAGCACATAAAGAAATATAGAAATATTGTCTTCGCATTAACAAAAAAACCCAAGTATGTGTCGGATAAATTACAAATATTTGGGAAAAAAATAAAGCTTGAAGTCAATTCCTCCATATAACTTTGTTGTGTGCGGCATCGTATCTTGTTTTATGTTCAAATTGGGTATTAATTTAAAATGAGTGATTAATTTTTATGATTTTGACATCATTTTTTTGCAAGTAATACCAGATGTGAGTTCAACTGAATGCAGATTAATATTGGTCATTGTCAAGCAGATTTGTTTTACTGCACTCAAGTCACCCATAGGCCGCCATTTGTCACAGCACGGTTGCTCCGTACAAGTTGATAAACACGTAGAAAGCTATATAAAAACCATTTTAGATCGTTGACAGTGCTTGTATAAGATGCTGTACAGCGTCTAGTTATGGTGACAGTGGATTTCATCAAGGATGCTGAGCCATTACTAGCCAAACCTTGAGGGATAATATATGAGTAAGTGACTTCAATTGTTTCTCAGCTTCAGTCGGAATGTAGATCAATGCAACTTGTACTACCAGTGCGTTCCCAATATCCTCCAAGTAGTGGAAACACCTGTCATCTGCGTTGCTTCCACCCACACTAATTACCTGCGATTAACTTCTAAGATAGGCCTCCTTAGTGAGTTCCCATTATTGCCACAGTTACTCGCGTTAATTCACAGAATATTAGGCTACCTGACTGCGAAATACCGATCGCGAAAAAATGACACGTATAATCACAACTCAATAGATGCTTAGGGACCCATGGAATCGTTACTGGTGATAACAACCTAACAATGAAACACCATTATAATAGTTAAATGTTTCATTTATATTCGTCACACCTCATCTAAAACCGCACAAAACAAGACCACACAAAGGCGAGCACGATAGTACCTAACTACGGAAAATCGAAAATCCAACTAACCGCTAATATTCTTGTCACTGAAAGACAAGCAAAATAGAAGCGAGTTGAATTTGAGAAGCGACAGAGTTTATCCTCGCCCATATTATACCACGTAATCTAGTTCAAATTCTTCGAGCAGTTAGTATCTTTGGCACATGCTCGAAGAGATGCCGCTCACCAAATCCCCAGACTATAACTTCTTAACTAAACTATGTATGCAAAATGCCCCAGTTATTTACTCCGAGGTTACAATTTAACCTGCTATAAAATTCATCACTAATCATATTCACTGTTCCTCTAATTTATGATCCTGTTACACCACAAATATTCTACGAAACTTATTTATAGGAGATGTCTCAGCCACGAGGGAATCTTAATGAATTATTCTTCTTCACAACGATATCAGTCTGGTTTAAACGAATCTTCCCCAACAACCTGGCATTCCTAGGGCACCTCTGTGCAAATACATAATTTTATGTCGAAGTATGAAACTATTTATGAGAAAATTTATAGCATATACTTGGTCAGTAATGGTGCTGTTGTATAGCTGACTGAGGGTAGTCCGTGTAGCCGATTCCGAACCGCAACGTGATAATGGTCAGAGAGTTAGGTATTGTACTTTTTACTTTACTGAATTTTGTGACTCAATGAGTAACTAGAGCCTCAGTTTACTTTGGGGACCAGAAGATGGAAGTCCCAAGAGACGCTAGAATTTGAAGGCATTTTTAAGTGCTTATTGTGGATGT